AACATTATTTTCGTCACTAAACAGCTAAATGAGGGACTAATCGGGAGACTTTTTTTTTCAATATTGATGAATATATTTAAGTGTCCATTTTTTGTTCCTACAGAAAAATATGGAAAACATTTTATAGTATAGATCTACCAATTTTTAACATGCATCTATCGTTTATTTTTAATTGAACTTTTTATAACGTTTCTATAAAATAGTTTTAAGAAAGATAGTCAGATGTCGCAAACACATACATACCAGTTGGAGTAACATGTTGCGTTGATTGTGCTTTTACAACACCTGGCAATTGCTCAAACTTTTGCAAAAGTTCTCTTTTCTCGGCCGCTAATTTACGACCGATTTTCGTTTCATCCTTAGTGCATTTTCGGATTCTATTAAGAATATTCGCACACAAGTTACAACAAAATCCAGTAGGTGAAACGTTAATACTTGCAAAAATATCGTTATATTGATATCTGCTTGCAGATGAACTGACTTGGCGATAGTTTTTGCCGTTGATTTTACCAAGACACGTAAAACAGCGTTTAACTGTGGGCGCTGCCATTTTGTTTCTTATTGTTTTTTACCTCCGCAGTTGAAGAATATAGATTTTGTTAAACGCGATGTCATTGGTAGATATTTTACGCACCTGTTGCTGTATATCGGCGCAAATCGATTCATTTTACCCACGGTTGATTGCATGTTATGTGACATGTTTATCAATCGTGGGTATCCGACGATGAAATAAAACAAGATCATGTTACGAAGACCTTGTGTGCCTGGTTGGTATATTATTTCAGACACAAGCCATGTATAAACTGTGCATATATTAGCCGGCTGTATGGTGGCTGATGTGGTACATTGCTCATTTCATTGTAGAAAGCGACAACGCAACCTACATCGTTTCATCTTGTCGCTACCGACAACACGACAAAACGCCAAACGGCGCGTTGTCGCGCTATCGTCTTGAAGTCCTGTCTCTAGCGAAGCAACGCAAACGGCACGTTGTCGCGATATCGCCCCGTCGCTTGGCTTATAAGTCAATTCTTCGATTTGAACCGAGTGGCAATGTGACATCGCAACAACACGCCGCACGAAAACGGGCCGTTTGGCATACATTGTTAGCGACAGGACGACAAGACGAAAGTCCGACGACACGCCGTTTGGCGCTTTGTCCCGCACAAAAGCGTTTCAAATCAGCCACCAAAGGACCGACCGAAGGACGTTTATACACGTTAATATGACATAACAAGAATTTTCATAACGAATTTGTAATACAGCTTAGTACCTTTTTAGAAGAAAGCATGCAGTAACCTCATAATTTCTCATCAGGTGGGTTTAAAGTTAACATAAGAGTCACAGTTATCCAATAAAAAGCGCCGTTACAAATGTGCAGTATTATAAACATTAAGATACTCAACAAACAGTCTATCTCATCTATCTCTGTGTACTTCAATTATCATGTATAACACATTATTGTCAAAATTAAATTAATGATTTCCTTTTCTCACAATTCTGAATTGTATTGTAGAGCCAATGCCAGATATACAAAGTGAAACACCAGTAAGAATAAAATTATGTGGTGAATATGACGGTCATTTTACGAACGACTGCGAGGAAACCTACATATACGCCAGAATGTGTAATGGATTGCTTCAATTTGACTTTTTCTTATTTCGCAGAATGGGGTTGCTTTGAGTGTTTATATTTAGGTAGTGTAAGACTCCTCTCATTTTATAGATAATAATACAAGAGATTTTAGAAAAGCAATGTTAAGAATTAAGACTTTGTCAAGTTCATCTGTGGATACTAAACAAGTCTGAGAACCTCAAAACTTTATATTAGGTTTATTTTCAATAAAAAGGAATATCAGTATTTGCCTTCTTAATAACATGTATTAAAATGTGTATGTGTTTGGTAACCTGTTGTGAGCTAAACTAATTGAATTGAATGTATTTGTTTTGAGGAAACATTGATGATACTTGTTTACTTATGGATAAGATGAATTACTTCTTCATTGAGTGAGCTTCAAAACAGTATTGTTCGAGAATATCGTAGCTACGAGTGAGAATATTGTTTTCAAAGTTTACGAGATAAAATGAAATAACACTCTAGCCAAACAAAAAGAAACATATTTTCTATAAATTTTATGCTTGAATAAGAGTTTCAATCATATTTCTACAATATTACCTTGAATATTGAGAGTTTTCCTCATTGATAGCCTCAATTGCAGACGACTCATAAATAAAAATTAGACTTTTAGAGGTAAATATCAACTTTGCGATGATATTGTTCATTTTAAACAAAACTCATACTGGTCATTTGCTTTAATTAATGAAATAAACAAATCTAGGAGATTCAATGGTTACACTATCCCGTATAACAATTATTCTTTATCCGTGAAACTGTGCGAAGAAGTTTATGGACAAATTGTTTATTGGCGCGAGGGAAGAGTTTAAATGTGTTTGATTGAAAGGGTTTGGTAATTTTACACCTATTCAAAGAACTGAAAATTATTCGATGATTATTACAAACCATTAGAAAATTCTAAACGGATTTGTATACAGTCAAGAAACGAAACATATAATTTTTGAAGGGCATTCTCGCGAACGCTAGGTTAATTTATTAAATCTTTAACATGCGCAAATGTCTTTCCAAGTAGTTTTGCATGCGAAAAGAACTGTACTTAAAAGATTGTTATAAATCTTACCAAAAGACCATCTTTTCTGGCCGTTGAATTGAACGAATTGAAGAAAGCAAAAATAAACGTGAGGCACCAAATCGGGAAACAATTTACCCACTACTTCATGAGCATTTTGTGAAAAATGGCTGTTTTCATTGAAAAGTCTCCCATTACAAGTTCAAATTGCTATAATACTATAAAAACTGCTTCAACACTAATCAAACTTGGCACAAATGTTGACTGGACCATTGCCCTTGAAACAACATGCTCAGGCTTAATTTTTCTGTTACCATGGCAACGAGGGGACATCTCAAAATTGCCAAAAATCACTATTTTGCGTTGATTTTTTTCCATCAAAATTGATTTCAAAGTGCTGCAACTTCTCAATGGATTGAAATAGAGTCAAATGCTTTTCAGCGTTGGTTACACGTTACCTTATGATCAATCTGGGGTCATTTATAGCCTTTCACAAGTCCAAAATTTTCTTGGCGATGAGGGGGACTCCACCCCATTCAAACCCCCCAAACAGAAGGGGGCACATGCCCCTTCTGGCAACCCCCTGATGTATCTTTTGGTTGGGGGCCGCGCCGAAAAAGTGGTCACTTTTTTTAACAACATTTCTTAAACAAAAACAAGTGTTGGGGGCCTAAATAAGGCCTTTTTTCACCATTAAAGACAACAAAAAAAGGGGGGGGTGAAAAAGGCGTTAAAAGGCGTGTATATCGCGTAATGGGTTAAGCAATAATTTCTAACTTTGAAACTGTGAAAGTATATTTTGATACCTTTCTCTGTGAAATTATCAAATACAATTTGTATGGATAAATAATCCACTCAATAGCATAGAATGGTATCGAATATTGTAATACAAATACGAATACGAAAATTTATTTCACCATGAAACATGTAAAAACACTGTTTCTAGCCTATACAAATCCGAAGTATTGTGCGAACAAAAACATAGAAATAAAGCAAACAACAAAATGCATTTTTACATTGTAAATCGTACAGTTATCAGAAGAGATTACTTAATGAAACGTTAATCTAATTTATGAAAGATAAAATAAAGTATCATATGGAATGACGAATACACATATTCATTTGATGTATCATTATACATATATAACCCTAATGAAATATTAAAAATATTTACGTAACACTAATGAAAAATTATACAATTGTTCTTTTATAAGCAAAGTAAACAAATTTTTTTTTATCTAAATTCAATATATCTTTTGTAGAGTTTGTTGACATGAGAGCCCTAAATTTATTCAATGTCGGCCACAATTATTTCTCAAATCTCTGAATTTAAAAATGGTATTCATTTTCGATCATTGACATATAACATGATTTACAAAGTCCTTGTTCCCTTGGGATATAATAGTATCTACCGGTTTCGATATAAAGATTATGAGGGGACATGCATAATCTAGATAATGTATTTCTTAATTTATAATCAGAAATCACCGAAAGATATTTTTCACCAATATGACTGGAGTCGACTGGAATTATTATGTCTGCATACCATTTTTGTTCATAGTTATTTAAGATTCTTAATAAAAGTGTCCATTACTGAGTTTTTGTACATAACATTTTAGTTTTGTTTCAGTGCATTATAACAATATTAAAGTCAAACCTGAAATTGGTCATAAAATTCAACAACATGAAGTGAACGGTAAATTACAAAGCGTATACACTCCGTTTCTGCAATATAGATGTGAATTTCACATGATTGATGAAGTAACGTATCGTACAAAATGGTAAATGTATTTTCTGCATTTAATTTATCTTAGAATGTAAGGCAATAAATAAAGTTACATCATATTTATGCAGCATGATGACATAACCTTATCTGATACACAATAGTCAATTTTAAATTATCAATCAATTTCAAAATTCATGACACAAATAAGTTTGCTGAAACAAAATGACTGACATCACAATTAAAAAAAACTAAAATTATTTTATTGATCAATGTTTGAAAAAAACGGTATACTTTTTCAGGTATATAAACGGAACCTTCCGCGTTCAGATGGGACCCTCTTCAAATCAGGATGAACTTGTTTTCAAAGAAGATTATTTATCACATCTTGGACCTGTATATGAGGTAACCGAAAACTTTTAGCGAATAATACTTTGTTTAACACGATTTTATTTTAACAAACTTATACATGTATTGTTTAAATTCATATAAATAAGTACCTCATACTTACTTACTTTATTACAAAGACTATAAATTATGTTGAATAAAAATCACCATTTGAAGAAATATGCCAGGGATGGTTCAGTTAAACACTAGTATCTATTTTATTACGAGCTTTGTGAATGGGTTGACATGATTGTCCACGTGTTGGAGTTATATAGTCACATCTACGCTGAGGTAAGAATGTTCCACATTTTAAAATTCAAATGATAAAGCTCATTACAAGTTAAATATTTGTAAAAAAGAAATATGATATAACTGTAAATAAGAAATCTTATGTTGTACAAGCTTTCTGAGGTTTTTTACTTTGCTACTTGTAAGCAGCGTCGGAAAATGTATGTCATGCGAGACCGAAGTTACAGCGAGATATCAATTTTTCCACGCTGTGAGTAGCAGAATACATGGCGTCAGAAAGCTTCTACAACATAATCATTTTTTTATATACCTTAACATTTTAAAACCAAGAGAACAAATACAGTTCATGAATGACAGTTGAATATTTATTTTTTTGCAAAAGTGACCACGCCCTTAGTATTATTGGTTCCCGTTTCCAAACGCTACATAATGCACAGCTAAGACAGAAACCAACAAGAAAAGTAGTCCTGCACTTCCTAATATGGTACCGTGTTCGTTTCTGTAATATAATACGTTTTTTTACAGTCTTACAATCAGTCTTCATTATTTGCGTATATTTTAGCGATAAAATATATACATATATAATAAACAATGTCGCTTTATAACGGTCAATCATATATATTAAGATACATCATCTGGTCAACAGGTACAATGTGGTGTAATCAAGGCTGGTACAAATGAGTCCTCTGAAGCATTAAGTGATACATTCTTTGCCGGATTAAAAAGTAAGTGCGATGTTTTACGCCTGACATAAATTATAAATTCTGACTTGAGAAATATATATTAACCTTTGTAAACCTTTTTAGAATAATGTTAGACAACCGACCAGTTTGCTTGTAGATAAAAGATGAGTCCATCACACTGAGCAAGAGTGGTTTTGCTACTGTTGATATCGAGCAGACGATTCCTAAAGGCTGCTATTACACTGACGACGAAGAACCAAATTGTGAAGAGAGAATGACTTTTGAAGATGCATCATCTGTATCCGATATGTGTGCAGGAAAACTTCGTGTACAAAACACCGCTGATGTCGGAAATCCTTTTGTAAGAATAAAGGTAACATATGTTTTTCACAAAATGAATATATTGATTTGTGTTCGATAGGGGGGCATATATATTCTGATTGGCTTTGCACTTACCATTACCGTCCATGAACAGGCTCCATAAAACCGAACCTGCAACATTTTCGATTTTGCCGTTTTTGGTTTTCCTTGAGGATTCTTATTTCCCTTAATTTTGGTGGTCTTTTTAGTAAATTATGATATAATTGAAAATGGTTTTCAAAAGTCCACTTTATTTTGTTTTACGAACTGTTTCTCGTTTACGGCGCACGCTTTCCTTAACTTTAGGACCATACGCCGCTTTTCATGAAATGACACCAAAGTGTCTTATTGAAGATTCCATTATAACCGCACATCTGTTGATGTTTCCAAATTCAAAATTTCACCATTTGTCATGTTTAAATGTTGAATTCTGCTTTAACCGATGCTAGGGGCGTGGTCTGTAACTTGCACTTGCAAATACTGTCCATAAACAGGATCAATCAAACCGACCCTGCAACATTTTCAGGTCGATTTGGGCGTTCTTTCTGGATTCCGTTTTCGCAATGCTATTTTAAGCTATCACAGTGCAAAACTGCCACATGTAGAATATAGATCTACAGGATAAAAAACATCTCAAAGAACAATAAAAGAGTTCACTTTTTGTTAAACAATAAGTGTTTATTATATTTTATTTTTCATTGTCAATTTCTTATTAATGTTGGTAGTCCAATATATCATATTTGTATTCAATGTGAAGCTCACGGTCCAAATGAATAAAGTTCATTAACACTTCTAATTTTGTTTAAAAAGAAATGTTGCTAGATATGTTAAATATAGTGCATTTATTAACGGAAGAGGCTAATACAGTAACTGTAAAATTTTGATCCATTTCCAAAGAAATATTCTAAGAAATTATAGCATATGTTAAATTGTTTTAATACTATCTCTAAAAAGACAGTATAGTCTGTTCAAAAACAATGAAGAAAGTATTTTAATCTTAACAGTCGCAGTAATACATTTTTTATCAAACAATGATCTTTATGCCTAGGTAAATATACATGTTAGTATATATATATAGCTTTAATCGTTCTTTTTGTCAATTTGATTATTTTAATCAGCATTGGCAGTGCCATTCTTCTAATTAAACTTGATTTATAATTATTTATCCTCACCCTTAACCCATTACTGTATAAGCATTTTGTGAAAAATGTTTTTTTCACTGAAAAGTCTCCCGTTACAAGTTAAAATCGCTATAAAACTAATGAAAATGCTTCAATACTAATTAAACTTGGCACAAATGTTGACTGGACCATTTGTAACAACATGCTCAGTCTTAAATTTTCTGTTACCATGGCAACGAAGGGACATCTCAAAATTGCCAAAAATCTTTATTTTGCGTTGATTTTTCCATCAAAATTGATTTCAAAGTGCTGCAACTTCTCAATGGATTGAGAAAGAGTTAAAGGCTTTTAAGCGTTGGTTGCACGTTACCTTATGATCGACCTTGGGGCCATTTCTAATTTCTCAAAAGTCCAAAATTTTCTAGGACGATGAGGGGGGAGCTAAACTCCCAAACAGAAGGGGGCACATTCCCTTCTGGCAACCCCCTGATATATCTTTTAGATAGGGGGCGGCGCCGAAAAAGTTATCAATTTTTAAACAACATTTTTCAACAAAAACAAAAACAAGTGTTTCGGGCCTAAATACGGCATTTTTCACCATTTGAGACACATTTTTTTTGGAGGGGGGGGGGGAGGAGTGAAAAGGTGTTGAAAGGCGTGTATATCGCATAATGGATTAATGGGGTTGAACCCATTTAGGTTATTTGCATTCTCTCACCTGAGCACCTTTACAGTTCAAGAAAAATGCAGATGACAGATGCGCGTATTACAAAAGCTTCTATCGCCGAAATATTCCAATGTCATCAAGCTTAGACGCTTTAAAATTGAATAGAAAGGCAGTTGGTTAGACATGAAGACAGCATAAAAGCAGAGTAGTAACGACGCCATTGCAACAAGTAAGGTCTTCAACAACATCACAGGAAGTCTGTAGGCAAACTATGTCATTGTCATTAACCCTGTCCGAAGCTTGTATGGCTTATCTAAAATGGTACTGTGTCTCTTTCGGGTTCTTGATATTGCAAGTCGCCAACAGTACAGTGTAAGCGCGCGTCAATCCGAGGTACTACAGTCTATCGAACATTATCGTGAAAAACAATAAATGGTAGTGTTAACGGAATGTATTATGTTTCGACGATTGGTTAATTTTGACTTTAATATATATTTTATGCTCTGGCCGTCTTATCAAATCTCCATTTACTTGTTTATTCGGACATGTTAATTGTTTGCCCTTTATCGTAAGGTTTTAACCGGTCGACTTGTTAAACAAGTACAAGGCTACACAGTTGGATACTTTTTCTATTGGTGGATAGCGGTATACTGATGATGTTTGATGTAAAAATATAATAAAATTCGATTAAATATGTCGTATTCTGTTCCAAATATACACTATTTATAGAGTTTAAAACAAGGTGAACAATGGACAAGTACCACACATACGATAATGTTGACAACTGCTGACAGCACATATGACGATGCAACAAAGTTCGACTTACAAGTATACGTAACAGACACTACCGGTCATGACAAACGAAGATCAGTCAGATCAGAGGTATGGTAAACGTGATACTTGTCATTGAGCTTTTTATAAAGTAGATTGTTCTTTTGTTTGTTTCATTTTACGCCTTTTTCCAACAGTATTTTAGACATATAAGCGGATAGTTTCCTAACCATCGTTCCTGGAGAGTTACACAAGTACTAGACTACCTTCCTACGCGCTAAACTACCAAAGCATCTACCGGGGATCGAACCCACGCCAGAGAAGTAACTAGATTAGAAATCATTGACTAACTCCTCGACCACGGAGGCGGTTTTATAAAGTAGATAAAGATAAAACATGGTAACAAGTTAATATTATCAAATATAGATACATAATTAGACATTCCATAATTTATTATGTTTTCAAACAAAATAAACAACTTCTTTCAGTATTTTGCTATAGAATTAATTGGTCACTGTGATGGTCTTACAGCTAGTAACATATTTTTCTATTCTTTTTTCTTCTCTTTTTTCCAGACTATTGGAGCAATTCATGTGAGTATAATTTTTACATCAAACACCTAAATTTCAACATTTCTTAAATGAAGCATTAAGTCAGAAAGGGGAGCTAATCAAAATATATAGCATATTAAAAAAATTGGTAACTATTTTTAGATATTTACAAACTATAATTTCAGGTAAGAGTTACTGGCAATTACAGACATCGGAACAAAAGATGTTATTCACACGTCGATCCACATATGAGAACCGCAGATGGATTGTAAGATAATATGTTTATTTAATCTAAACGGCTACTGTACATAAATTAAATTCAGTGGGTTTTAAAAGTTGTAAAACAAATTAATATTTACGTTTGTGTAATCATAAAAATCAAAGTCTGATTAGCAAATACCAGTCGGGCAAGAAAATGCTGCAAATCTGCTTATCTAAGTAGTATTTTAGAGGTGTTTCCGGACAGCAAAAAGCAAGTTTTATGTATTGACATTCATTTGGTCAACTCCTGATGTGAAGCTTTTATATTCAAGCTGGTCACCAAAATCCCGTATATATTCTATATTACTTATATCTTTCAGTTATGTATATAAAACAGACCTAACTCATACACACTTTAATGTAATTTATCTTAACCTTTATAGTTTTTATGTTAACGAAATAAACAAACTGATGATAAAATAGGGTGTCCTTGCATAATATGTCGTAACATTACATTGTTTTATTTATGCAGAAACACGTTCATGTTTTTGTTTGATAACGTCTAAGATTTTGGAAGAAATGCATCTTTATAAATGAATGTGTAGTAATGACAAAAGAACCTACACAAAGTAGCTGCGGATGAGGATGACCTGTAACTTTCACTTTTATATGGTGTATTTAAACTGAAAGTTATATTGGGATCATATTATATCCTTATATCAATGCTTTGAAATTGCACGTCTTTTAGAGATAATGCCCTGAATATGAAGGTCATTCGTTGGTGAAATAGAAAAGTAGGAGAATTTCGACTGAAGCTGCACCGTATGCTCGTCGGCATAAATAGCAACGTCTGCCAAGATTGTTGATAATGTAAAATAAATAGTTAATAACGATGCAAGATACACCACATGGCAAAAAACTTTTATCGTTGGCATCTCATTAGGAGCAGCTCATACATTTCTAAAACGTGATTTGAAAATGAGAAAGATCTGCACTAGATGGTGTCCCCTCATTTGCTGGCAGAAGAGTAAAAAAGCGCTACATTGTTGTTAAACCAGTAGGTAAATTACAGTGCCCGGTCGTTCGCACATGTCGTCACTGTTGAAGAAACATGTGTTCATTTTTTTAGCCAAAACGAAAACACTAAAACAGGACTTTGGCTACTCAGGATACTCTATTTAGGATGCAGTTACTAAAGGCAAATATACAATTGCAAAATTTTACTAGACAAAAGTTCTTCAAAAATTAAACAAATACCTTTGAAAACGCGACCCGCAACGGACTTGGCCAATGGCAGATCGCTGCATGACAACACGTCATCGCAAAAGGCGTTTATAGTGCAAAGCTATCCGAAGCAGAACAAATTCGATGTATTTCTCCATCTCAAAATGACCTGCCCTTGCTCCTTGGGACTTCAGTTTAATGTCAAAGCTTAATTTAAAAACATACCTTGAATGTCGAGCACAAACACCTTGATGTTTCAATATTCCATTGTCTTCATGGTTTATCAAATGACTATGAAATTGCTGGACACTTAAATTCATATATCTTTTGGAGGTGAATACTTTGTGGGAACGAAATAATAAAATTTCAATGAAGCCTATGAAGAATCAATTTTACATGCTTTGATGCATTCATATTTGAACACACCTCATATTTTTTTATACAAATATAAAATTAAACCTGTGCTCTAAGTGTTTTTATTTGTCTGCTGCAAGCTAAGATTTGCGATGTGCAGCATCCGCCAGGTCCCTAGCTAATGTCTGGAAAGCAAATAGATTCTTTCTAAGAAATTCTTATTTGTTATGCAAAAATGCTCAAAGCTTAAATTCGTCTGCAATGTATACACCTTTTCTCTAATTACACTAGAAATGTATTTATTCACATAAAAAGTTAAAATGTACTGAAATTTCGTAAATAAGTAAACATTACATATCATCCGATTATATTAGGCAAGTTCCGTTGAACTGTAAGTCAAACTAAAAAATAATAGATTAAAATATTAGACTAAATTATTTTCTACAGCTGTTTAAAAGATTTACTTTTCTTTATCAAATATAAATTAACATGTAGAATTGATGTAGAAAAGGTATTTAAACAAATTTTGATATATGAAATGGTTTTTAAATACTGTTTAAATCCATTGGTCAACAAAAACTCAGTTTTATTTTATTGATAAAACAATTATATAGTTACACAAATCTAACATAATATCTAATGGGTATCACAATTTCAAAATGAACATTGTCATTTTGTATATTCAGTAGACTATATTTCGCCTTCTACGAAATGTTGGAAATGGTAGTTGGACTATGATTTTACGAGTGATTAATTGAATTTAGGCAAATTATCATCTTTGTATTTAGTTATGTAAATATGTTATATAAACCGCAGCCAAAATTTATTTAGTTGATAGAAACTCGACCTTACAACCTAAACCTCTGTTTATTTAGTGTTTCTAACATAATATGTCTTTGTGCTTAATTTCTTATGATGTGTTAAGTAGCATAGGTACTTTTCTCTCATAAGTAAATTTAATAGCGAAATTACACAATTAATAAAAAAATATTTATCTGTTTAAACATAAACGATAGTAGTATAAAAGGGATCAATATCTAGCATTATTTGCTTATTCGTGTACAATTAAGTAAATGACAAAACGTTCCTCTAATTAAATTGAATTCTACACTTTTAAAGACTATAAAGGTCAGCTTGTTTACAAAACCTCACTTAACCCACCTTCCCTGAAACGAACTGTTTTGTATATTAAACTTGCTGGTGGGTGACACAAACCATTTTATGTCATTTAACCATAGGAAGTTTCAGCATTAGATATGATGATATTTAAACATTCCATGTACATAAAGTGAGTTCCCTATTCCTTATTCCTTTTTCGAATTTATGTACATAAACATTCCGCTCATTTTTCAGGTATTATGAAGCTTAAGAGGAAGGAAATTATACATTATACAGGAACATTAAATACCAAACAGAGGTTACAAAACTATTATACATAATGTATATATCTCGAAAGCTAAACTTCTTTAAATTAAGAGAAAACACGACTTTAGATCTACATGATAGCACAATATTGTAATAATTGTTATTATAAAAAAGATTGACAAATTAACTACAAGAAGGGTTGATTTACCAGAGCAGAACTATATATTAAATTTTTCAACTGAGGCTAACAATACAATGTAATACACATCTTAGACTATACGTTTTCAGGTTCAACAGTCAGCTCAGTATTGTTCCCCTGGATCAAACAGCGGACCTGTATGTGCATGTGGAATAGCAATAGCTGTGGGAGCTGACACATTCATCTTTAATAAATGTTATAACACTATATTCAAATTCGACTTAAAGTGTAATGAAGGTGGCCTTATTGATATCGACGAAATGCATCCCCATCGTTACAAGGTCTGTATATATTTCAAAACTGGTGAATATGTAGAAAAAATCAACGTAAGCATTAAAAGAATTTTTAACTATTTTTTCACTCAAGCTGACATACAGAAACAAAACCTGAAATATACTACTGACTCTGTTAACAGCATGCAGTCTTTTCACTGCAGCTGATTAAACTCGTCTAGCGGAATTATAATCCATACAGTGTTTAGCCTAATCAGTATCTTAACATGCATCATCAAGACTTTGCTTTTCTTGATACATAAGATATGTCTGTGAAATCATTGTCTGCTATTTTCACATTTCATTTAAATTATTTCACATAAAATAAGCAAGTTTATCAATTTATTCAAAATTGCCGATAATTCCCTTAAGCCCCAGTCACATTAGAGCTTACGACCAGTGAAGACCAGTTCACGATCACCAGTGACATCTGGTCGCGGACAATCTTTAAAACGTCTTACGACGGTCATCGGTGATCTTTGACAGTCGTAGGTTATCTTATTTAGGTCCCACGACCAATTTCAGTCGTAGAGAGGTTTTGTCGCTTGTGATCTTATAAGGTCTCAAGGCTGTCGCACGATGGTCGTTCGCAAGTGCGACAATCTTACGGCAGTCTTTACAAATTGCCACTAGTCACTGATAATTTTAAGTAGTCTTTAGTAATCGTGTGATGGTCGTACGACAAGTTGTAGGTGATCGCATGTTATGTCACGGGTAGTCGTAAGTAATCCCAGGCAATCTTGAGACCATCGTACGTTTACTTGTGACCTGTCGTGCGATTGTCAATGATGACTTGTCTTACGATACTAGCAAAAGTAAATTTATCTGTGCAAAAATGGTTTTGGTCGCAGACAATCGCTGATGATCGTCAGTTCTACACGTCGCCGGTGGTCGCAAGTAATCGTAAGCTCTAGTGTGACTGGGTTTTACTCGTATTTTTACACTTGAATACTCAAATAACTAAACAAACATGTATAACCGTCATTTCTGAAAAGTTCATTCAGATTTAAAGATTAACAAAAGCATTTCCATGTATTGGATCAGTAGTCTGAGTTGTATAGCCAAGACAAATTTTCTAATACTTTATATATAACATTGATTTCGGAAAACTCCTTAGGTCAGGACGCCTTTTGGTACTATTATCGACATAGCACTTCATGGATGGAGTAACACAATGAACATTGACATATACATGTCTGCTAAAGATTACGGCAATGTTGATGGCTTATGTGGAACATTTGATGGGGATAGAAGTAATGATCTTCTTCACAGAGACAACAAGACAATATCAGATGACGACAATCGGAGTTACCGCTTCGCGGATAGTTGGAGAAAAAAGACTATTTATCTGAAATAGATTTGATTTCAAACGGATACTTTTGTTTTTCAACAAACATCATGTTATCACTTTTTCTTCAAAATCTTGATTTACATACTGGACGATGTACTTCATAAAGTATATTTAAGCGAGGTTTGTCTTTCAAATAAGTCTCTTGACAGCTTGTCAACTATATGCAGGTTTAATGATCTCTGATTCTCTTTTAAGACACAATTTCATTTAGAGGTGTTCATAGATTTCCTATTAGGAACCATAAATTCCTTTTATTGGGACCCTAGGGTGCTTTCCTCGGAATGGTTCTATGTTCTATGATCACTGCCGTATAAAGACATCTGCGGTCATTCTTAATTCAAAATTTTGAAAACTGCTTTAACTAGTCCTGGGGCGTGGACAGTAGATTGCATTAACTTATACTGTTCAGGAACAGAGCATATTCAATATTTATTTCATAAGATTAGAATGTAAGGGCATACATTTTTCATGAATTTACCAAAGAACGCGAGGATAAAAGTTGAACATGAATCGGGTTTGTTGTTCTTACTCTGAAGAAACGTTGGTGAATTGCGTCAATAAATTAAAAAAATACTCTATTTTAAAGTTTATTTATGTATATTACGAATTTATCTTTCTCGTACGTTGTAATAAAAAAGGGCCCAACATGGAAGAAGTTAAAGAGCTGAAGGCATTCAATTCCACTTATGTCGTACTCAATTAGATTTGATAACCCATATCAAAGTGATTTTTTTACAAATAATTAGATTTTATTGATAAAAACGTCTGATCGGTTGCATTTATAAGTATCGACGGTTGTCAGCTTATATAGTACGAATCTTTAGGCGAGTAATGCATCGCAAACATCCCATTATACACATAAGTAAAACATAATTATAACAAATTTATGATACAACAAAATAACTTTATTGAAGGAAAAACGAAAGATACTTTAAAACAGTCGTATTTCAAATTTTAAAACGTCACAACTATCCAAAAAATAGACGTTACCAACTAGTGGCTCTTGTTATATATTCAAAAAAGAAACGTTCATATAAGGTCAAACATCTGTCAAAATCTTTAAAAATAATGCAATGAAAAGAATTAAAGCAGATATATTTAAGCCGATGTATACTAAAAACTATTATTCACCTCTTCTATATCATTGTTCCATAATGTATATTTGTCAGTTCATATCACATCATATTCACTGGCTTAAAAATTCATATAAGTAAAATATATCTCTGTAAATATGAACAAAATTATATCATACCGGGTACTACATAAAGTAGTTTTCAATCATTTTAAAACATAGTGATATTTTTTTATGGATAGATGTCTGAATACATTGTCACAACTTTTTTGTGTACCTTGTATTTTGTTCATTTAATACTAAGTCTAGTTCTTTTGATAAGAGCATACATTCAAACAGATACAATGACTCATTTTGTTTGCGTTAACTGCTTTTCTAAAAAAAAACACTGCTTTGTTTAATGTATCAGATTGACAGATGAAGAAAACTTGTTTGAAAATGATGCACGTTTACTGACACCATGGAACACACAAATGAACGGGATGGCAGATCAGCCTTGTAGCAGACCAAATTCTATTACAAAAAGGAAATGTAAGATTAATCGTAGAACAAGGCGAGAGACAAATATTCTTTTACAACATAAACAAATCGGCCATGCGTCTGTATCCAGAGAAAGGGTTGGTACTTTATGTTGATTATTAACGTAAACTTTATGATATGAATTCATCAAATGCCACTCACTTTGTAAATTAAAAGTATAATAACTTTCTACTCAAGCCGCTGATAGCGTGGATAGAATATTGCATTAACTATTGCCGTTTGTAAATGTGTTTTGTCAAACCGTGCCAGCATTATTTTCGATTTTGGCGTTCTATCCAGGTTTCCAATTCTTTCTTTATCACCACGTGTTATGTAATCTCTCAGAAAAAATATATATTTATTGCTTAAATGCTTTTATTATTGTAATGTGCTGTCGTCGTCTTTGATTTTTTTGTAAATATTTTTCAGAGAAGCACAGATAGTTTCACAGAGGAAGAAGCATTTGCGCTGTGTAACAGCTCCATTTATAGCACTCCAGCAGTTATTGAGTTTCCAGACTATCTTGCAGAAGAAGATCCCGACATAATTGTTGATCAATGTGTTTATGATTTGACCGTACGTTTGATTGTGTGAACGTTGTATTTTTACTTCAAAGCAATATAATATATACGAGGACGACTGTGTCACGAAATAGAGCAAAATAGTCAGATAATTGTCTGTTTTCTATAAGTACTGCCGATATACTCTATGCTTAGTAAGCATTGTATGAAAAATATTTGATTTCGTCATTCTTTATAAGGTGATTCGACTAAAATATCACTAGATATATGTTTATAAATATCAACGCATAACAAAAGATATGTATATCTTTCAGCATGGAAATGATACAGGTTGGACAGACGCGCATGTCACAAATGCCAACAATGTCGCAGATACTGTTTTAAACCTCAATCCTGTCTTTGTTGCAAATAATACAGAAAAGGTTAACACATTTCGTTCACAAAATATGTTTGAACAATTGTAGTGGAAATGGTGAATGTCTTGAAACAGGTAATAACGTTATCACCAATAATATAAAACTGCATGAAAAGGTGCATAACAATACACTTTCATGAATTTAATAGTTGCAGTTATTGAATTAATAGTTGCAGTTATTAAACAATGACAAATTATGCTAAACTATGTCTTCAAAGTAATTTCCTGGGCTGTAAAATAATTAATTTGATTATGATTAACTGTAAATATAAGTTATGGCAAACAAATGTTTATTTACAATTTTGCCATTATGCATCATTTGGGAGAGACTTTATTTAATTTCGTCTGTTTCGAAGAAAACGACGAGCAATTATGACTGCTAAGTCGTCGGTGCTGTTTCTGCTGTCGTGCTAGTAACTTTAATGTAGTCCAACTATTTGAAAAGTTTCAACAAGAACCTTGTGGCATTTTATGGTCATGGTTAAATGTAATTGTAAGACAGGATGCATAATTCTTCAAGAAATATTTTCAAAGTTATAATCATTTTTTTAAATTAGAATTTCCATTTAATTATCCATTAAGTAGAATAAATAGAACTTTAAAAAGTATAAACATGAAAGTTAGAATACCTGTTTATCATTAGATGCTTAAGTTGTAAGACAAAGGGCATTATTCTGAAAATGATATTTGTCGAGTATTGTCCCTTTGTAATTGATTTTTTAACGTCAGTTTTCTCTCTGCTATTACCGACATGTATGATGATGACAAAACGATCAAAGCTTTCAACATAAAACTCGAAACACTTGATTATCATTACAGGTATAAGTGTTAGTCTAGGAGCAATACTTTTAGGAGTTATGCCCCATTTTCACTTAGCATATTTCTCAGACTAGCGTAATTGCCGCTTGCGATGCTGTGGTGTTTGAAATTTGCAGGTTGTTAATTAATAAATGATAGCATATTCGGTATTCACAATAACTTGTGTATTGTTCAATCAAGGTTAGAGAAAGATATTCCCTTAAAGATCCTGTAACACAATTTTTTATGGTTTTATATCAGAAATATGATCCTCAAAAT